CAATGTGAAACGAGTTGTAGGACAACATCACAACACGATACGTACACTTATGTAGGACAACATCACAACACGATACGTACACTTACATCACGCAAGACTTACGAATGAAGTACTATTCATTTCCACTTGCATCCATATAAATGAATTGTTATTTCTTTTTTTTAACTATGTGCAATAAGTAGATCTCGAATTGAGACTAGAATGCAATATTAATGTACAACAACTAGATGGTGATGAGCCAAAGAGGTTGTGAAAGACTTTCATGGATCAGCTTTCCCAACAATGGCCTCATCACTAGAGTCATACTCGTCATCACTCATCTCATCCTCGCTTGATTTCTCTTCTTCAGGAGCACCTATGTCTTCCGGCTTGGCGTATTTCTGACAATATTCTGCACAATAAATTATATGTATTTTATGTTACACGTAATAATAGACTTGCGTTCGACACCTAATTGCGAAAATATCACGACAAGAGTGGCAATATTAACATTCCCAATTTCTCTCTCTCATACTTTAGGCACGAGATAAATTTTTCAACTCAAAATTTAACTCAACCCAACCCTTCTCAATATTATCAATATAGTTATATAATACCGATCAATCACCCTTACACATCACATCAACTTTAATTAATTCATTATTCATCAACTCACATAATTCTAACTACCCATTATTTCCAATCACATCTCTCCTACTTTAATATCAAATCAACTTTAATCATTATATTTTAAATAATATTTTAATACAAACTCAATCAAACCTAACTCAATTAACTTTTTTTTTTCAAAATTAACTCTAGTTATCCAATTCAATCAAAACCAAAACAACTTGTATCCAATCCAATCACCTAGACCAATTTCTCTATCTTTCTCTATGTGTGCGTGTGTGTTTTGGTATTTTGGCTTCAATTTTTGAGGGTGTTGGGATATTGGGTCTAACCCGGCTCAGAAATTGGGGCCAATCAAAGAGATAATCTTCGACATTACAAGTAATTATTCCTAAACACAAAGCCACTGAAAATGTTCAACATCAATTTCCTACCAATGGAAATGAAACTAGATACAAGTACATAACAAGAGAAGGGAAAAATATAGAAAATATGACCATGGCAAGGACAATGAACAAATTCTCAAGAATGACAAACGGCCTTTTTTTTCCCCCTTTCTCTTAATCAAAATGGCTCAATTAAATTCTAGTGCTTCTTCTATTAGTGAAGTTTCTAGAAAAAAAATATATCAAACGATGCAACGCACCTTGGGTCGCTATGGAAACAGCCTCCTTGTATAATTACAAGTGTAAGGTCTGCGTACAACTGACGTCCCAGACCCCAACTTGTTGGGAATATACTGGGTATGTTGATGTTGATGTTGACACAATTGCAACTAACATGGAGTTTCAAGATTTTGCATCAAAGCTTGATTTGTCTCACCATACGAACTATTGTGAAACTTTTTGGAAAACGTATTGTCATTCAGTGGTACTTTTTTATCAAATCATCAACATCGTCCAATCATAATTATACGAGAAGAACTTCACACGGATGACCATCACTTTCGAAATGTCATAACAACAACTATTCACTGGATTATCCAATTACCAACTAGTTTGTTAACCATTTCACTTTATTTATAATCATCAAAGTCTAGATCTTTCTTTTTTTTTTTTTTTCATTTTTCTCATTGGTCCCTTCTATCTAGATTAGTACATTTAAGCAAAAAAATACAGAGAATAAACAAAAAGAAAGCGTAAATCGACATAGACAACTACTAATCTTGGAGGAACACATATTGAAGGACACAGTAAAAATTGGATCTTTAGTACCTTTAACTCGTTGCTCGTATGCAGTCCTGTCACGCATCATTAGAGCTGCAGCCTCACCATTCAATGGGTCGGATGGATTTGGATACAAAAGAAGTTGTGGCAAAAATACCTCAAACACATTCACCAAATCTGTTGTTGAAAAGAAAAGAAAAATTATGTAGTTATCACGAATCAACAATTATCATAATTATAAAATTACTCCAGCTGTTTAGCCTAATATAACAATATAAAAGAAAGTTGTATTCTTTCGAAAAGAACAAACACACCATTGAAATCTATTTTTTAACAAATTGGAACTCATTAGAGAAAAACACTTGTTAGGTAGCTTCAATTGGTTATTGGCAATCTTGAGAGACAGCCTTTTTTTTTTTTTGTATATATGCTGAACCTTAGGGTTAATTTTGTTAATCATCCATTTTATTTGAAAAAAACTACATTAGTCCATTACCAAACATAGGGCTCCATGTCTGATTAATAACATCCAAACAAACGGATCCCGACCTGTTTTTCATTCCACACAACAAAAGAAAACATGTTAAGTAACATCAGTGCAACTTTAATAAAGAAATACGAACAAGAATCGAAAAAAAAAAGCTACAGAACTCAACTCACATTTCATCAACATTTGGGTGATAAATCTTGTTAATAAATCCTATTGATGGAGATTTGTATGGATAAGCATCAGGAAGCTCTACCCTGATTTTCCAAATCCCACCATGGTAAGGACCTATTCATATTTCATAGAGGACAAGTAATAAACATAAACATCACATAACAAGAAAAATAGTAAATTTAAAATTAGCAAAATGAAACAAGAAAAAAAGATGAATTTTTTGAAGCAGAGACACCTCATATTTTTCAAATTTAGAATGTTTCAACTCATATATTACATCTTTCTTCTCCAAAAACAAATATTAGAAAAAGGGCAAATAAACTAACCATATGGGAACACACAAAATTTCAAGATTTATCTATGAGACCATACAGTTTTGCTACGGAACTATCAAATGGCTCGACTTATGGAGTCATCCACACTTATTCACCAATAGTCTATTAACACGTGTCTTACAATAAATACAATTTGGACAAGGGTCATAACATTAAGTGGTGGATGGCTCCATAAGAAGACCATCCGATGACTCCATAGAATTTTTGTGAGACCATAATAGATAGAATTCAATAATTCCAACTCCATTACATATGCACATCACAACAACAAAAAGAGAAGAACATCAAGATTTTCTCCAAACAAGGCACAGATATTGTTTCAATAAGGGAGAAAGGGCAAAATAAAATAAAAATAATCTCTGCTTAATCCACACAAAATTACAGAAAAAAAAAAAAAAAATTGAAATAATTGGGTTTGTTTGATTTACTGTCACTGGGTCCATGGAAATGTACATAGAACTCCTGCATCCCATCATTGATCATCTCCACCTTGTAATCACTCATCATCCTATTTCAAGAAAGCAAAAATCTCACAAGTCAGGAACAAATTAAAAAAAAAACCCAAATAAAAATTAAAAAAAAAATCAGCAAACCAAGCTAAAACTAAAACTAAAGAGACAAGAACAAGAAAAAAGATGAATGCTTTAAGACAATTATACAATTTCATCAAGTCCATCTCACGCCTCTTGCTTGGGGAAGACATGGTTATCTTTTTCTTTTTCTTTTTTAATGTATTTTTTCTCCTTGATTTACAGAGGAGCGCCAATAAGGAATGAAGGGGAAAAAACCCAAGAGCTGTATTGAGAGCAATTTTTTCAACTCTATTGGGGTAAGAGAGAGTTCAGAGCAAAGAAAATGAAGATAAACCAGGGAAAAGAGAGATGGGGAGTTCAGGCACATCACATATATGTCATCATATACATTTTACTATTTATTTCTGCTATTTTAAATTTAAGAATATAGTGCGGTCCGGTTACGGAATTAATCTGTCGGTTTGTAACCATTGGATCATGATGTAACCATCATAAATAGTTGATCTAACGGTTATAAATTTTAACAGAATTATTCCGTAACGAGACCGTAACATCACCCATTAAATTTAATATGGTTTCCAATTTCAAGATTCCTAACCCGAGCAACCTAAATTATTATTATTTATTTATTTATTATTTTTTTTATGAAGGCGTGAATGTTGTTAAAGATATATTCATTTATTTAGTTGAGAAGAAAAATAATGAAAAAAATTATATACACAAAATGGGGAAAAGAGGAAACTAGGAAAAAAAAAAAGCAATATACATGTGAAAGGATAGTGATAAATTTAAGTATAATATGAAATGAAAGATTATGCATCATGCAGAAAAACAAGGAAGATACAAAATCTAATTTAATTCTCACAACTCAACAACAAATATCACAGGGAATTGGAACTAGTAGTTGAGAATATTACACTTTTAACTAAAATTTAAAAAGTAAAAATAATTTATTACATATGTAATTGGATTTTGTGATGCAGATACTATTAATATAGAATATCTCAATCCTACGTGTCGACATTTGGTGCTTTGTAATTTGTGTGTTAAATTTTGGTGCTTCGTAATTCTATGTGTTAATTTTGAGTGGTTCTTGAGTAGTATGTGTACATATGAATTTCATCTATACCTATTAGAACTTCTAGAATCATAAAACTAATGACTAATTTAAATAATAAATAATTAAAAAGTTAACTTTTGTGGTTGTTATCTAGTTTTTGACACACATATATACATATATATTCATCTTTTCACGAGTTTCGGTTTAATATTTATATTGTATATATAAAATAAACAAATAATATTATGTTTCTTTATGATAAATTAAATTATCCTATTAGTTCTAGTTAAAAATTAATAAAATCATATATCAAGTAAAAAATATCTATAAATTCATCATTACATATGAACTAGAAAAAATGTTATAATATGAGATGGCAAATTATACAAATAAAACTCACCATTCTGGAGTTTGTAACCCTTAAATTAACTATCTCTAAATATAAATAATGCTACACATATTTTGGAAACCTTTGTGGAGTTTAAATATATATATAAAAAAAACATCTACAGTACATTTTGTTTCAATAATTTTAGAATATTTTTTTTTTTAATTAACACCCGTATAATCACGAGTATTGTGTACCATTAAACCAAAACTTGGGATGCCTAATAAAGTTTTCCCTTTTATGCTTTCATGAAAAGATATTGCTAATTCAAATCTATACATTACTTTTATTTATTTATTGTCAAAATCGTAGTATGATATTATATGGTATATTAATGTGTTTTTACTTAAAAGTAAGATAAGTCAACTCATCTAATCATAGATTATAATGTGGTATGTTATGGTATCATAAAAATAAAAAATTGGTACAATAAGTCAAAACCTAGTTGACCTATAGACATATTTTTAATTTTGACAAAACAAAATATTCATATCAATTCATTTTCATTGATCATGTACATTAAAACGTAGATATTATATTTTTGTAACATGCAATTAAATAACGAATATCTTAATTTTTAATTCGAATAAGCCAAAATAGAATTATGTAGATTATGAAATATGTTGCCAAAAATGAGCAGTAACTACAATAATTACATGAATATAAATACAAACCCTTAGGCTATACATAATAAATTAAATAAATAATATATGATAGGATAGGTGTTAGTAGCTTGAATAATTGGGAAGCACAAGATGCTTTTATATTTCATTACGCAACCAAAACCACACTTTCCGTCATTTTGCAATTATTTTCTTTAACCAATCAAAGTTTTTTTTTTTTTTTTTTTTTTTTTTTTNNTTTATATTTTGTCAAGCACCAAAAAATGAAAAAACATTTAGGTAAAAGCAAACAAAGGCTCAAAGCATCTTGAGAAACTATTGTAATTGACATCATATTTTTTTCAAATTTTTTGTCTCATGTGAATATAATATAGAGTTTGGAAAAGTAGAATATTTTTTTATTTTATTTTATTTTTTCAAAACGATAGAGATATTATATAATTAAAGATCGCACAAAGTGCGAATAGAAAGCCGCCAAAGAAAAATACAACCAAAGAATCAAACGACTGAGAAGACAAATTCGAAGATCACTTATAACCTGACCTAACAACGTCAAAATATTTATTTTTGAAAAAGTAAGATATAATTGAAATTGTGGATTATAAAATAAAAATACAAAAATATAAGTTGATGCAATATAATATAAAAATTATAAAATATTAACTAACGGGTAGAAATATGTGAGTGAATTACTAGTTTTTTATATAAAAAATACATAATAATAATTGATTTGTGTGTTTTTAATTTATAAGATTGCCAACAAAGAGTGATAAGATAAATATTAGTTTGGGTGAAAATTAAATATTTTATTTTATATTTTTATGAGAGAAATATAAATTAACAAATAAAAATTAAGGATACGAGATAACTATTCACCAACAAGTGTCTTGATTCAATGAATCTAATCTGAGCAGTTATTTTCTTTTCATGTATAATTATATATTTATATTTTCTCATTTTGTTAGAAATAAATGAAATAAAATAAAAGTAAGATAAGAAAGGGAAATAAAATATATGTTCAGTATATCATTTGAATTATTTTGTTGATGTCCCTCGGATTTTATATAGTTTGTTTTATATTTTGATTCAAATTGAAAAAAATGGAATAATTTTTACAATATATTCAATTATATGTGTGTGACACCTCTACAGATGTTAATCAAACTAATGATTAGTCATAAATAAAAATATGACATTTCAGGTATAAAAATACATTTTTGTTAAGAATTTGTGATGTCAAATTCTAATTAACTGAAATCTGACTCCTTCAATGAATAACCATCTGCAAATTCTCTTATCAGTTTCACACTTAAAACAAGTAATATATTTGAAGAAAAAAAAAAAAAAAAAAATACATTGCATAAGAATTAAGACACATCCAAACCCCTCTTATCTCTAGATTTTCAGGTCAATGTATGCATATTTTCACTAGAAAATATCATATTAAAATAAAAAACATAAATAATATGCATCTTGTTCATATAATATGACGAGTCAGAGTCGTCTAACAATTGGGCTGTCTCGCAAGAACAATCTAATAGTTGGAGAGTGAGAGCCGTCTTAACAATTTGGCCGTCTCGCAAGAACAGTCTAATAATTGGGTTGTCGTAACAATTTGGCCGTCTCGCAAGAACATTGGTTGTCTCGCACAAGAATTTTGTGATTCTTTTTAACACATGCACATAGAATCTATCCAATTCAATTGTCTAAACACCACACCAACATGCATGCAATCAACAATATCATCTCATATCATATGTGTATCATTCACAATTCCAATTAAAAGAGCCAAATGAGAAACTATTCCAGAAACAAATGACAAAGCTAAATTGAACAGAAACAAAACAAAGCAACTCAGATGATTTCCAAAATGAATTTCCAGTATTCACAAATGAACTAAAACTGAATTAAAAAAAAAAATGCTGGCTTTAACAAAAGGAAGAAAAAAAAAAGGCAAAAATCCATAACTGCTGATCTCCTGGAAAAAGTTTTCAACTGACCTTCCGAAAAATGTATGTCCCATAAAACTTCAGAATTTAACTTTTCGACGAACCAAAACCAAAAGATGACGAAAAAAAAAAAAAAACTAATTTTCGAACCCAAAAAACCTGCTTCAATTTACACGTCCAACCACCCTCTCTACCCTTCGTCACAAAAGTATTTTAAACGACATTGGAGTGAGGTTTCTTAGGAGAACAAAAGATCGAACTTTGAGAGTTTGCAGCAATTTGTCCAAACCTATTACCGATCGGCCCGAATTCAGAGTCCTCATCATCACTATCAATCTCGCTCGTCCCACTCCGGTTCTGACAACCTCGACGCCTCAAAACAAAAACATTGTAGTAATAACTCACCAACGCCTCACGACCCTTTTTAGGAAAGCACTTGAAAAGCTCGTCCCAAAAATATTTTTCAGAAGATAACCGATTAGAGTCCACGATTCTTTGAAATGTGCTTTCGTCCTCTTTCGTCCAAGAAAGTGCAACAAGTTCACCCATGTTATCGAATTTCCATTTAGAATAAGCAGAGCCCAACTCGAGCTTTAGTTTCACCCTTTTCTCCCTCACGTGAAATTTTACGCAGTCAAATGAGCCCGGATATTCACAGCCGCACGTTTGTTGTCTTCCCTTACCAATAGGATCCCTTTCGATTAAGCTGCTCCTTTGTTCCCCTTTTTCAAATGGCCAAATTCTAGTGCCTAACCATTGGGAATCACTTCTGTAATAACCCTCACCAACAAAATCGGGTATATCCGCTTGAGAATTTGGACCAATGGGAATTCTTTTCTGTCGGCGTTGATTTGCGCAAAAATTAGTGGACTCAGCTGTTGAATCGAAAAGCCTATCGGCTTTATCCTCGTCACTTTGAAAATCAGAAGAACTCGATTCTTGAAAAAGGCGTTCGCGTGGCTTTTGAGACGGATCTTTTGCAAACAGTAGCCTTTGACTGCATCTTTGTCGTTCGGAGTTGCATTGGTCGTCTTCATACATGCTTGGATGCATCTTTTGTTTCCTCTGCAAAAAGGTATTGGAAAGTATTATTAACAAGCACTCGTACAATAATTATGAAATTAACAAAATTATACTAAATACAATAATAGCTAATACAGCATTAATGGATAAGTGTACAAGGATGCATACAGGACACCTAATGCAAAAAAAGTTAATCAAATAATTAGTACATAAATAAATTTATAAATAGAGATGCTCTATCGCCAGCTTCTTAAAAAATTTGTTGATAATTAACCAATCTTTAAGATCATCAATAACAAACAATGTTCTAGATGTCCTTCATTTAAATTATTAGAATTCAATATAACGAACTAGCTGGCTAGATCATTCACTATTGAAGAAAGACAATGATCAAATGCCTCAATCTAACTAGTTATGCCAGGCAATAATCACGCGCAAATTCTTGTGTGAGGTAGCCTAACTGTTAGGCAGGTCGACCCTTCATACATTTGGGAAAAAAAAATAAAAAAATGCATAGTTATGTTATTAAATGTTATACTCTTGTTTGTGTTGTCTTTCCCAGCGTCATTTTAGTTTGAATGCATGCACATCTTAATTGATTGCTCAACTGATAGGCCTGCCAAAATAGTTGCCTAATAGAAGCCTTGCTGATAATCTGGTGGCAGCTAAGTGCCAACTTATTACAATCTTGAACCGAGCTCATAGTTTCGAGGCAAAATGTAATTACACTAGTCTAACAATCAATAAAAATATTTTCACTGAAAGAATTGTTTTTTTTTTCTATTTATAGTGATAAGTACTATGGATCCCACTTGTTTAAGAAACTCAAGTCTCAACCAAACCCACTACATCCCTAATTAAACAACAACGGCACAATATAACGCTCAGATGGCAATCGAGTCTTACATCTTTCATACTGAATCTCAAGCAAGAACATCATATTCAAAAGGCTCCAGCATTCAGAGGTATATCAACCTTTTGCAAATTGAAAGTAATAGTAACATATGTTTACACCGTTAATATGAAAGAATGCACCATGCCCAACATTTACATTGGCTAGTTATCGCATGATGTTGATCATCTTACCACCATGAAATAGCTGAAAATCCTAATTCCAACCATAAAACTTTATTACCAAATTGGCCTATGTGCTGTGTCTCATGGTATCAATTAATTTTATTCTCCGAGTTGGAATTTATGTACATCAGAGCACACAAAAAAACAAGTCAAAAATTATGGTAAAAATTTATCTATCAAAATACATTGACTGCAAACTATAGAATCTACAATTCCATGTTTAGAACCTTATAAGATAGAAGCTGAAAACCAACAATACAAAATCTAACAAACCACCAAAAGAAATTTCAATATAATATCTATAGCCAAAGGATAACTCATATGTAATATATACAGATATAACCTGCCAAATTGATTGTTGAGAGCTTGCATCAACATTCTTTTTCAAAAGCATAGCTTCACGTGCCAGTAGAATCTTTTTCCATGGTATCTCTGCCCCATAACACTTCCACTTGTGCCTTTCGGGCATTGGCTCAACAGCAAAATCACAGGGATCTTTCGCGACTTCACGGATCCAACTTAGCATGCTCAAATAGCATTCGCGCTTTCTTTTCCTGCTAATAAAATCCAAACCCGATTTATGTTCATTCCCATTACCAGCCGTATCAGCAAACTGATTTTCATCATATTTCACATTCCAATCGACTTTTATATCCACATAACCCAAATCCCCATCACCACTTTTAAATGCACCATTTGTAAACCCCACGAAATCCTTTTTTACGACTTTATCCGACAGAAATGCCTTCAAATCTGACTGCAACTCCATAAAAGGCACACTAGAACCGTAATTTTCCTCTTCCATCCCAATATCTTCCACTACTTTATCCTTCAATCTTTTAAACAGCCAACTATCCAAATACTTGAAATAAACCAATTTCAAAGCAGACCCAAAGCTTGACTTGAACCCACAATCTGCTGCCTCAATTTTTCACAACATCCTGAAGCTCGAACAAATCGACTTTCTGCCCCGCACCAATCAGTGGCCTGAAACATTTAGTACCAAAAAATTCTTTTAGAAACTTAGTAATAAACTCATCGCACAACGTTTTTATCTTTTTGTTCCCATTCTTTAGGCTCACGATATCCGAAAAAAACCCTCTAGTGGGCATTCGTCTACGCTAGACGCAGTAGCCCTGCTCAACCCCATCCTGCCATTGTTTTCTCACACATTCCTTAATACCCTTAAAAACAAATCCTTTACGTTTCACACCATTTCCAAAAAAAAAAACAAATTTTCTTAAAACCCTTTACTGCTCAACACGGTTAGAATACAAAGAAAACCATAAACCCTTCAGGAAAAAACAAAGCTTTTTCAAAAAAAAAAAAAAAAAA